CAGTTGAAGGACCAGTAATTAAGTTAGAGCTGATGTGGTCCATCCAGTTATCATTGGCTTTATCATTCAAAACTACAATGCACAGTCAGTTCCAATGCTCGAACTGGGATTAGTGAAGCTGTTTGTTACTTTAACACTGTTCATCAAAGGACAGTGAGCACACATGCCAGTGGAAGCACAGTAAGAGATGAAAGGTGAGTGTTGAATACCTTCCAAATCGTCAATAGTCTTCTCCAGCTTTGCCACAGACCTCTCTGCAAATTCTGCACGGGTCTCTGCCTGGAACACAAACCACAGCAAAACAAGTGTCAGTACAAAGTCTGGCATGTGTAACACCGTCAGCATTAGTAAGCAACAGAAACAGTGACATGGTAAAGATGTGAAAAACCTCACCTCCTTCAGTTTGTCAGTAAGAACTTTAATTTCCTCTTCATATTTGTCCTCCTTTTGTGAGTACTGAAATCCAAGCATAAAAGTTATTTTAAAAAAGACTGTATTAATTAAGATTATTTGAATCTTGTTTGAGTAATGCAAGCAAGACAACTGTAAAGCATTTGAACCTTGTCATTAGGATACCATCTTACCATCCTAAGGTTGCTTAACAACTCAACTCAACTGCATTTTTAAGGTATTTCCAGTTTTTTCTAATCTACTGCTATCAGCTTTAAGTTCACTATGGATAAACAAAATACTGTCTACTGCATACTAAGAAAGATATTTACAGATTGCCCGATATTCAATTCTACATCTTAAATTCAAGCAAAGATGACAGCTGTGATTACATTTTGGTCAATAAAACTTTTCAATTTTAGTTTATGCACAAATCAAATGTTAGCACCATTTTAACATGGTGTAACACCATTTAAAGCATCTCTACATCTTGCCAAATGCTAGAGAACTTGAAACAAAAGCTGGAATTCAAGTTAGTTCCATTCCAGTTTTTCATGACTCCATAGCAGGATAATGAGGACTGTTTTGTTGAATGGACATGGGTTCACGGGATTTCAGATTACAGTCCATACATCAATACAGACAGCATACAATATGTACAGTCTGGCTGGTCACTCTTGAGCTAAAATGCTCCTCAACTCCTACTGTACCTTGTCAGACTGGGCTTCCAGTGACTTCAAGTTGTTGGTGACATTTTTCAACTCTTCCTCAAGGTCACCTGATTTACTGAGCAATGTTGGAAAGAGGAAAAGCAAAAGAAGAAAAAGCAGTGACTGGAAAGGTAGGACAGTAAAAGAACTTAAACCCTGACACTTTTTGAAGGACACATCTAGGAGTATGTGTGTGTCATCAAGGCAAATAGCTGTCCTGGAGACCCCTATTGTAGTAGGAACTAAGGCTGACATGCAAAAAAAGTTCATATTCTAGGGGGGTAAATACAGGTTAGACAGAAAATATAGAGAAGCTGAGAGGTTGCAGGTCAGAGTAGCAAAGGCAGTAAGTTACAATTAGACTTGGGAGGAGTTCGCACAGTAAGTACCTCTTCCTCGCCACACATCATGGACTTCAAATTCTGATCCATTAGTTTGAACTCCTCCCCCAGCTCCCTCACTCGCCTGCAGGGGTTAGTCCAGGTGGTTGGAGGTGAGGGGAGATAGTGGCCAGGGCAGCCATAAAACAGTCCACGCGGTGGTTGTGCATTCATGCATTCAAAAACACAGAAGGACACAAAAACACACATCCAGGTCTCTATGTGATTAGTGCAGTTGTTATGTCTTGCAGCTTGTGATTATTCAAACATGCTTACATGATGCCAGACTCATGCAAGAACAACTTGCATTAGTGTTAAAATTGTCTGATAAATAATTCACTAAATATTAACCAGAAGGTTTAACAAATGATTAATAATTTAGTTTATTTACAAAGAAAAAACACCAAACATAGCCTCCAGCTTCTGTAGGGGTTGGAATCTACTGGTTGTAATGCATTAGGATTGCAGGGAAATGTATTACTTTACTGCCACCTGTTGGACATAGGTGGTAGCTCTAGTCTTGTCGCCGTGGGTGACGGAGAAGATTGTTCAAGCAAAGTAGCATCAAGATACTACACTGATTTTGTCAGGATTTTGTTTTTTATATCACAAAAAAGAATGAACACAGAATCAGTACATTAAACAGCCATTAGTAGTTGCAGATGAAAAGAGAATCATTCTAACATTTACATGCAACACTTCTCTCACTATTGAGTTTTCTCACTATGATCAATATAAACACAAGGGGACAAACCGTATCTCAGCAAAGTATGAAACTCATCAATGACAAGTGAAGGTGTATGATCTCATGTTGTCATAGTTGTGACCACTTGATCTCTACAATGACGACATGAATAATGTACAGTGGCTCTTATGTCAGTGTGAATTTTGGTGCAAGAGGTATTGACTTACGCCTCAGCCACCTCGGCTCGCTCCTCTGAGCGCTCCAGATCACCCTCAAGGATCACCAGTTTACGTGCAACCTGCAGACATTCAGCACACACTCACCTGACTCATCCAAGCTAATACAACACAACAACTGCCTTGTCTTATTCTGCATTCGACATACTGTACTACATGTACTATATTCAGTTAAAAGACAAATTCATTGTTTTACAGGAAACCCTCAAATTTCTAAAGTAACAAGTTGGTCAGAGCTATCACAATACATTTACAGATATAATTAATTTGTTTTAATTTTAATTTCTTCTAAATAAGTTTTAAAACATTTGATGTGTGCTTGATAATGCATTGTCATTCCACTGTCAGTAAGTCCCATAATAACGATGAAAAGCAGTGATCCCTCACCTCTTCATATTTTCGATCAGCCTCCTCAGCGATGTGTTTGGCTTCCTTCAGTTGCATCTCCTGGATCTCCATTTTTTCTTCATCTTTTGTTGCTCTGTTCTCTATAACCTTCATTCCTCTAAATGACAAGAGGGACAGCGATAAGCAGTCAACCAAATATGTGTGATTCAATTTATTATTTTTGCTCTGGGGCTAACTGTAACATCTACCTACAGCAAATTGCTGTGAAGGAGCTACATCATGTGTTAGAATATAAGCTTGGAGTTGGAGACGACAGATGTAAAATTAAAAACTGCATTGCAAATTAGAAGTGCAAACTTTGGGAAAAAAAGGTTGCATTATTGGAACTTTAGGACAAATCTTTTTGAATCATGAGTCATATTTTATCACACAGCTCGTTCTGATCAAGTAATTTAATTGTGTAGTAATAAAAAAATAACAGAACAGATTTCATGACTGTTGATGTAGAGCATACTATCATGTATCACTCAGCTTTACAGATGTTCAGATAATTGTTATTTGCAATAATCAACATTGCCTATCTATCTTAGATTGCAATAAAGGTTGCCTTGTAAAACATCAGGAAGATCAGACCCTTTCTGTCTGAACAAGCAGCACAATTCCTGGTACAGGCTCTTGTAATATCACGTATCAACTACTGCAACTCCTTACTGGCAGGCCTCCCCGCATCCACGGTCAAACCTCTGCAGATGATCCAGAATGCAGCAGCATGTCTGGTTTTCAACCAGCCAAAAACAGCACATGTCACCCTGCTATTCAGATCGCTTCACTGGCTTCCAGTTGCTGCCCGCATCAAATCCAAAACTCTGAAACTTGCCCACAAAACTACAATGAGAACAGCTCCCTCCTACCTGAACTCTCTCATTCGGGTCTACAGTCCCTCCCGCTCACTACGCTCGACCAACAAAAGCCGCTTGATACAACCACCACAACAGGGCTGAGGTCGATAGCTAGACTCTTCTCCTCTGTGGTTCCCTGGTGGTGGAACAAGTTACCAAACTTTGTTTGATCTGCAGAGACCTATTACCTTTCGCACTACCTGTAGACACCAAGGTCCTATCACACTTAAACTTATTTTATGGCACCTATCCAGGTTGTTTTCTTCTGACTAGGTCCTTGCTTGTGTTGTATTTACTCTTAGATGTACGTCGCTTTAGATAAAAGCGTACAAAATGACATTAGCCAACCATGACAAATTAGAAGTGAACACTGAAAAACCAAAATCATGGGCTTTGAATTGCTTAAATGTAAACATAAACTGCATTAAGAGGATCCATCCAAACATAAAGCTCTTCACCTCTCGCTCTCATCTGCAGCTTTCTCAGCCTCCTCCAGTTTCTGTAGAGCGGTAGCCAGTCTCTCCTGAGCTCGGTCCAACTCCTCCTCCACCAGCTGGATACGCCTGTTCAGAGATGCCACTTCTGCCTCAGCCTGTAGAGACAAACAAACAAGTCCCAATATTGACATAATGATGATGATAATCAGATCTGACCTATAGAGGAGACAGCAGACAGACAATGTGACAACTTGTGCATGTAAATACATCAAATATTACTTAGAACAATATAACCAATGCAACAATATTGGTTGTATCCTGTATTCAAATGACAAGCATAACTATATTCATTCTAATTTGGCCCTCCATGGCTCATCAGAAAATGTCAGCAATAACAAAATTAAGACAGATAGAAAGAGGGAAGAAAAACACCAGTAAAAGCAAGCAGCTCTTTGGGTCCACCTTCTTTAAAATTTAAAAAGGAGCAGAAAAATAACACCAAAAAAGAAGCAGTAATAATATCATTCTTTTAAGCCAGTGTGAAAGTATCTGCAAAGTTCAAAGGCACATTTGTCTAGTTATCATTCAGTCATCAGTCATGCCGCCCATTTGGAGACTTAAGAAGCTAAACCCTTGCAGTTTAGAGATTTTTTGTTTCTTTCTTTTCGTTTTATGTCTGTGATGTTCCTGTTTGTCATAATGTATGTTAGTGATACATTCCAAAGCACCTGAGCTCTGCCGATTGGGTGAACACTTTACAATAATAAACTTCAAACCAACATTAAAGTTAATTTTGTCCCGTTACCACTGTCATGTAATAAAGCTGTAGCATTGCTTTGTTCAATTCACACCATTAAAAGGAATTAAATGAAAAATGGGTTTCAAACATTAATTATCCATTTCTGATGACTTCACAGTCTTCTCATTTAACTTTTTTAAATTGTTCACATTTGAATTGATGCTTTAGAATTAGATGTTGTTAAAACGTTTTGTTAAAAGAAAAATGACCACATATTTTATTTTTCAATTTCTGTATTTTGAGCTTGTTGGCTGGACTGTACCATTAGCACCTGGGGGGTGTACGTCAGTCACTGCCCACGTAGCCTGGCTCACTTAACCTGGGAATAATGCATCAACTACGTTATTCTGGGACAGTTTGGAAAGGCATCTAGACATTACTCAAAGGTCACTGTATGACTGTTGTTTTGCTGTGGTTCAGATTAAATCGAGGAAGCCTTTAAATAGGCTACTTTTTGACGGCCTCACCTCACCCACCTGTGTGACGACACATCCTCAAGTAGAGGGTAGTGAATGAATGGCTATGAATAAATAAACAGGTGAGAAGGAAGACAACATTACTACAGTAACTTTACCAACAATGTACTGTGTATGTCAGCTAACTAATGCCTAGCCTACAGTTAGCCGACACATCGCATGGTCAGTGTGGCTGCTGAGTGCAAATGGTTCAGTCCAACCACGAGCAGAAGACACAAGAAAATTAGAATCTTTAAAAAAAAAAAAAAAGTTCAGAAATCAAATTCTGAAGCAACAACCCAAACGTGGACAAATTAAATTAATCCATCTACTTGTGAAGTGAAAAAAACATTAACCCATTTTTGTCGGTGCGACCTGAACAGAGGAGCAGTTACAGGTGTTTCACAGAATGGCATTTACCTTTACGTTCAGTTTCGATTAGACAGTTACTAGGCCTAATAGATGGCTACTTTCAATATTCATTGGCACTTAGAGAATCTAGAGGTTCATTCCTGAACACCCTCAGGCTCCGGAGTAGCGGATCTTCGGACGGAGCTTCGGTGTGTTACCGTCTCTCTGGCCCTCCTCTCCTCGTCCGCCTCCCCCTGCATCAGCCCGGCCCGGTCCTCCGCCTCGAACGCCGCCTGCTGCAGCGTCTGGATCTTCCTTCTTACGGCGTCTATGGATGTAAAAGTCGCCATGCTCGGAGGACTCACGCAGCACCTTGTCCCCGGTGTCATCCACAGACTCTACCTGGTGTCACCCTACACTCTGTGGATGTCACGCTGTTTCCATGGCAACAGATTCTTCCGGTTCTTCCGGTCATAGTGTTAATATCTTCATTTTTAAAATTACACGAAGCATCAGTTGATTCCAGCAGTTAACTGTTTCGTTTATTTTTGTAAGTTAGTGTTAATATCACAGATAATCATGTGACATCTACTGTTTAATTACTTACAGTCGTCCTCAAATGTATTCATACCCTTCCATTAAAGAAAAGGCAAAATTCACAATAGTCACTCAAATAACTAGAAACCTAAAAATAAAAAAAAGTAATAATAAATAAAAATTTGCTAAATTATATTTTAGTGAAATAAAAATTAAATTAAACTGAATATGAATAAATTTAAGGACGACTGTATTTGGGATCACAAATGTCCAACCCAAAAAGTATTGTGAACAAAGTTACTTATTTTATTGATATTAGCATTAACTTTGAAGAAGCAGAAGAACATGAGGGAGGAATATGAATACACTATAATTTGACCTCACCAGATATTAATTGACAGTGGCATCAGTTGGAACAAATGGCATATCACATCACCCTAGATATAAATAAAGGATACACGGATGAAGCTGGTACTTCAGTACAGTAGTATTTGGTATACTGTTTATTAATACTGCCACAGTAAATTTCTTCTTTCTCACTACAGGACACTGGTATGTATCATTGCCATGAACTGTTGCCGCTCTTATAGGAACTTGAGCATCCTAGATATAATCAGGTTTTTGAAGTCTCCCATTTTTGTGTTTCACCATGTAAACATCATATTTAAATCATGTGACCAAAATCAGGACTTGCCTCATAACCACGACAGTAACGCATGTAGACACAGATATACTAACCTGTACCCTGCAGTTTGATCAGTGCATTGTACCTTCCTTTGTAACTTGAACCTACCTTTGTTCCACATAAACTGTAACATTGAATGGTAAAAGCCAGCGTCGTCTGTAAACTCTGACTATATTAAATTTTTCATGACTTAGGAGCAAAACATCTCAGGCCTTAACATTTTTTAAAACTTCATAAATATATCAGTGACAAAACTCCTCAGCTACAAAAGGTGTATGACAATAAAAATGTATTTAAAACTACTTTTTTAAAAACTATTTTAAACTGATGATCATTGTATAATGCATCCATTTAACAGAGAGATCATTCAACAGACACTGTTGACTGTGAATAGCAGCTGATTTGTCCAATAAAAGGTTTTCCTATCATATCTCCTGCTGGATGCACAGCACAAATGTGTTTGTGAATCGAACTTGAAGTCCCGAGGCAGAAATGTTCATGTTAGAGTGAACACCAGCTACACTAGCAGACTCCTGTAAGCAGTGGAAGCATAAACAAATACTTTCAATGCTCCAACTCTTCTCCATCTTTGGTAACATCACCGTAACACTGCACACAGGAGGCCCAATTCCTTTCAGGACTGTTTCTGTGCTTCATTCTCTCTTGCGTCACTCAAGACATTTTGCTCTATAATTGGTCATGAATGGTACAATAATAATGGTAGGATTCATAACTCAAGAAAACCAGCATGGAAGTCATAACTGTCCACAATTACTGGCCCTCGAGTGAAAGTCTAGGGGTAGTGTTTTCCACTAATATTATACAGACCAAGTAAATTATGACTTAGTCAGTATTTAGATTGCTGAAGGAACATTTACAGCAGGAATACGAGGTAGGAATAGAGCACAACACTCAGGTATCTTTGCAGAATACAAGGTTGAGTATTTTTACATCAAACTTGTATGTTTGGTTTTCACTCATTTTCTTAGCATATTTTTTTTTTTTAAGCAAAAGTTGAATTGGACTCATGTGTCCTTTTTAATTATTTATTTTGTTCTGCAGTGGTAGCACCTTGTCCAGTCCCAATGCCCTTGTTCAGCAATGTTTGAAAGTTAACAGTTCGACACTATGTGAAAAAGGTAATATTATCCGCTTCCTTCACTTACATCCGTTGCCTTCTTTTCTGCCTGCTCAAGCTTTTCCTGGGCATCCTTCAGGGACTCAGAGTATTTGTCCAGCTCATCTTCCACTCCTTTGAGCTTCTTCTGCAGACCCAGCAGCTCCTCTTCCAGCTACAGCCCAAACACACAGTACACAGACACAAAACACGTCAGAAAGCTGAAGTCAAATCACAAGTTTTAAAACATTCCTTTTATAAGAGTGTGTGGCAAAAAAAAAAAAGAAAAAGAAAAAAAAAAAGAAAATTCTACTACTGGAAAGGTTTGGTATTTCCTTGGCTCATTTTTTTTGTGTAAATTTCAAAGTCAAGTAACTGATAGATCACGTTACATTACAATTACCACCTTATATGGTCAAAAAAGATTCTAAACAGCTTTTTGTGTTTTTCTTTCACCAAGGGTAAGTGTCAAATTATATTTTACTACCAAGTATGGGAATAATCAGGAGCGAAGTAGATTTCAGTCTTATATGAGTTTGACCTTCCAGCTGACCTGGACAGCTTTATGGCAGATACTGCACTCTGTGTCATTTGACCACACGATGAGATGCTGCAATAAGCAAGCACTTATTTAGGGTTGTTCTCAGATGACCCACTGGCCTTATTGACCTCCAATGGGTTAGTTGCTATGCATTGTCTGTCTGTTGTCTATCTGCTATCCTGCTCTCTCTCCCATTTACCCTCACCTCCACTGATCAAGGCAGATGGCTGCACTCCCTGAGTCTGGTGTTGGTGGAGGTTACTTGGTGATAAAGGGAAGTTGTTTCTTCCTTTTGTTGCCAAGTGCTGTTTAAAGGAATCCATAGGAAACTTTGAATTTGTTTGTTTCTCTGTAATTTTGTATGCTCCTCACCTTACTCTTGTAAGTGCCATGACATGGCATATGTTCTGAGTTGGTGCTATATAAATAAAGTTGGAATAAACTGGAATTAACTAATTTTAGGCATACCATTCAATGCTTCAACAATGGCAAGCCCAATCTCCTATAAAATACAAGTATATACATCTACATATAAAAACTGAAAATAACTTTAACTGGATACAGCAATACAGTGCTATTGCAATTCAGTACCATATTCTGCAATATTAATTCAATTCAATACCTTAACATAGTAAGGAACCGACCTTTTAAATATTACAGCGAGATTGATGCTGCACTACAGTGATTTACTATCCTTTTTTTTTGTTTGCTTTTTAAAGTAACAATCTATGTAATGCAGTATCATTTCCAAACACGGGAATTTATTAGAAGGCCATGGTAGATGCCCTGGGGGCATTTTATTAAAAAAAACTACCAATCAAGGTTAAAAACAAAAAGGAAGTTCTTACTAATGTACACAGCATGAACAAAATCTGTCCACTCATTTGGTAAAGTAAGTTCCTATTGGAACTGGAGTGCCAAGGCTGTCATTGTAACATGTTTGGTGCTTGAATATTCACAGACCACTTTATGGACTCCCCTGCCAAAGCAGATAGCAAATAAAATTCAGATGGAAAGACTTGGTTCACCCAGTGCACTACAAAATTTGAAAGCTTCATAGGAACCCATTAATGAAATATCCATCCATCCATTATCTATACACCGCTTAATCCTCACTAGGGTGGTGGGGGGGCTGGAGTCTATCCCAGCTGACTCAGGGTGACGGTGCTAACCCCTAATCCACCGTGCCATTAATGTAATTAATATCATACTTACAACACAGGCTGTTAGCTCAGTGATGTGGGAGAAAGTTACATTAAATTAAATTAAATTAAACTTAGAAATTAAAAAGTTCATACAGTTGTTCGTACTACTTAAAGGACAAAAATACTATATGAAAGACATATGCACCACAGTCACAAGTGACCTCCCCTATTTTCCCCTTTTCTTCCAGTGAGGCGCCACTGTTAGAAGTGAGGTTGCTACTCTTACAGATGGTGATGTTTTAAATGCCCTGCTACATCCACCGGAGGTTGTAGTTGTTGAAGTGCCCCTCAGTCTTCCTTGCATTAGCATCCCTGATGCCCTGTTACCAGACCTGAAGGCGGTGTTGTGGTCCTTGAGAAGAGATTTAACTTCTTTGTCATCCAGGGTTGGGGCATACCCGGATGTAATTGTTGGCAGTTCTGTATGTAGTCGTTAATGTGTACTCCTCCAAGTCCTAATTCTCAAAAATGTCCAAGTTAGTCAAAGCAGTCCTTCAGCTGAGAGGAAGCTCCTTCAGGCCATGTTTTTACACTTCTTATGGTGGGTTGAGCTTTTCTTCTGAGGGGTGTGTGTGCTGGGGTTAAGAGTTTGGACTAGTGATCTGACTGGCCTAAGTGTGGAAGTGGTGTTGATTTAAAGCCTTCATTGACATTAGAATAAGCTTTGTCCAGTGTTTTTTCCAGTTGTGGAACAACTGATGCATTGCTAAAATTTGGGGAGAACTGTCTTTAAATCTGCATGGTTAAAATCCTCAACTATGATACGAGCTGCCTCTGGATATGTGCTCTGCTGCTATGAGGCTATAGCGCTGTGCAGGTAATCTAGACCTATGCTGGCATTGTCATTTGGTGGAATGTAAACAGCTGCAACTGTAAGAACAGTAAACTCACATAAGCGTGTTTAACAATGGTAAAGTCACAACATACACAAGGCCAGTTGACCTAAATGGGATCATTTAGCTTATCATATTTTCTTGACCTCAGGCTAGTCACTGAGCAAGTCACAGCAGACACCGATGATGAAGCAACATATTGATATAAGTTACGGTTGAAACTTCTGTTCAGATGTCATCTCTGAAGAAGCAGTAACTAGCAATCTTGTTTGCAAAGTTGGGCCGAAAGCAAAGATTGAACTGCAGCATCTCAAATACTTTGTGGAGAAACCAAGGAAAAATGCTAAACTTCTGTTTCTGCACTCTTTAAATACAGTTACAGTATATCCCATTACAGCCCTTTTGATAAAGTCAAAATTAAAACAGTTTTTTAAATGTGGTGTTACTGTTGCTTTACATTTTACATCACATATATGATAAGAAAGTTGTAATAATGTCAAATTTAGATTCATGATGCCCAGAGGATGAGTCCTTATAATTTGTAACCAGCTGACAGTGTATTCCTGTTCATAATAGGATGGCCCTTTTCCATTTACGACTTGGCCTTTGCTAGCCAATGACTCATTTCAAAAGATTGTTTCAGCAAGTTGCCATCAGCTTCAGGGACTATAAAAAGCCAATTGTAAATGACAGGGATGTGGCCTGACGACAATGTCCCCAGGACAAATGTCCTTTCTGTCACACTTCTGACAGTCAATCCCTGTCTCTAGCCATGTGAGGCCTCTCACTCACAAATAGTGTTGGGTAATCCTGATCCTACAGTCATAGTGGTTAACTCCCAAACAAACAGCCTTGACTGTCTCTAACAGCAGCGACAATTCAAAGAAGGTGGAGGTCTTTAGGGGGAAAACAGAAATAGACATGCCAGTATTCAATGCTCTTAGGCAGAGAGTAGTGAGGGTCTACTTATTGTCACAGCTACAAGTCGGTATTCTCTGGGAACAAATGCTATGTTGGCAGATGCATAGCTGAATGGTTGCTCTGTATTAATAGATTGCTACCTGATCTTGTCAAATACGCTGTGGAGTTGCATAGGAGAGATGGCAAGTCATTAAGGAATGTGACTATGTTCTATAGCTGAAACAATAGCTGTGGCTAATTTCTCACATTGTGAACCACGTGAGACATTATTCACAAACTGCAGCCAATTTAGAATGTGCTGGATGGTTATATTCATTGGTTGCTTAGTAGATGGAGTCCAAATTTCCACCCTCCGGACATACTGAGCCATCCCATATTTCCATCACATTTCCATGACATGTTCAACATCCCCCCCATCGAGTCTAAAAGGGCACTATGTGTGTGTGCGTGTCTGTGTGTGACTGGAGCTTCAACCTCATTCATGTCCATGGATATGAAAGCAAGTTCTTGACACTTAAAAATATTGAAGGTGTTTTTCTAAATAGTTGTTGCCAGTATCAGTCACAGGTAGGACAACATCAAAGTGGCCATGGAAATATTACGCTTCAGCTTTACCCAGGCTTGTTGGTTATTATTTAAAGGCAAAGCTGGAGTCTATCCCAGCCGACCCTGGACAGGTCACCAGTCTATCACAGGGCTAGACTTAGAGACAGACAACCAAGCACACTCACATTCACACCTTCAGACAATTTAGAATCACCAATTAACCTCAACATGTTTTTGGACTGTGGGAGGAAGCTGGAGAACCCAGAGAGCCCACGTTGCACAGGGAGAACATACAAACTCCACACAGAAAGATCCCAGAAGTCCTCAGCGGGACGCGAACCGGGGATCTTCTAGGTGCGAGGCAACGATGCTAACCACCAAGGATTATACCATCTACAGGTTAGCGTTTAACAGTTTATTCACATTTAAGCATTATGGTGTCTTTGCTACTTGCAGAGCAACTAATGTGGAAGTTAACCACAGTATCAAGTACAAATGACACATTTCGTCTTACACATGTAAACAGTAAGACTTGAACGAATTTGTAAATTACTTTACACCACAAATTGTCTTGCAGCCAGGTTTCTCTCTTGCACTGACGCAGGGCTTTGTAGAATGGTCTGGCTGCACCTCATCATTATTCTGCTATAGAAGGAAAAAAGCTCTTCTGTGTTTGTATTCCTTCACACCAATCACAACCATCTTGGGCGGGGCTAAGAACAGGATGCGCCAACAGTGTTCACTCCAAATAGTGACAAGGGAATTGTTTTGGTGAAACATTTGCATGCAGGAAAGTGAGTACTGTCATTAAACTTGAGATTTCAGCATCTAGGTAGCTGTCTAGAGGTTACTGTTGTTGTTGTTGTTGTTGTTGTTGTTGTTGCTAACAGTGATGAAGGGCATTTTGAAAACAGTAGCACATAGAGATTAAAGGCAGACTTAAACACATCCAGTGAGTCACGCTGTTTGCAGCGAGGTGATTGATTCTGTCAAAAAAGATGAACATTACAGCACCAAAATAAGTGCCACAAAACCAAGAAGTATACAATAAGATTCAAGATTTAAATACAAATAGTGTCTGTAAAACCGTAGCTACAAGTTGAGAATGCGAAAGTTCTTTACTTGCCATAAAAAATCAACAGTGTTGGCTAGCTAGCCTCCCATTATCCCCCATTTTCACCAACATTTCTAATTCAGCATTGTTATAGTGAGCAGTAAAGAATAGGTAGTAGGCATGCAATAAAAAGTAAACAATAAACTGACTAATCCGCGTAAGTAATGATTCTGGATCTTCAATGTAGGGAAACTTCTCATGACACGGGATTGTGAAGGGGCTGCAAGGTGGCTCGGTGGGTAGCACCGTTGCTTCGCAGCTAGAAGATCGAGTCCCAGTTAGGATGCCTGGGATGTTTCTGTGTGGAGTTTGCATGTTCTCCCTGTGCAGCGTGGGTTCTCCCCGCGTTCTCCAGCTTCCTCCCACAGTCATTAATTGGTGATTCTAAGTTGTCCGAAGGTGTTGTCAGCTGAGTCAGCTGGGAAAGACTCCAGCCCCCCTAGTGAGGATGTATACATGATGGATGGATGGGATTGTGAAGCTTTATCTACTGAAGAAACTAAATGCATGGGCCTCGATCCTATTATATATAACAAATCTTTTTTAGTTTACTATGCTGTTTTGTCCACGTGTCATCTTGTATGTCTGAAATTGATGACAGTGCAAACACTCCCGTGCCATATAGTGTAAGACGTTGTGGTTTACAATGATAAGATACAACAGAAGATAATGTGCAACAGACTGAAGTAGCGTTGATTGTTGCAACAACTCAAAATGTTTTACCAAAATATTTTTTCTTAATACTAACTGTTAAGAAAAAAACAACGTTATGCTGCGGAGCAACGTTCCGATACAACATCAATTCTCTGAGAAGATTTTTTTTTGTTATGCTAAGTGGCTCAGCTGTGTTAGAGTGGGTTGACAGTGTATTTATCAGCTACTACACTCTTCAATTCATATTTATCTTCACACACACACACATTACTACAAGTACAAGTACTTGTATTTCGTATTACCCTACATTCTACTGTACTCTGTGATTTTTATTACCGAAAAATAATTAGCACAGATTATTTTTGGTTTGTGTCATATAAAACACCACATTTTAGACTGATAATTAGATATTTCATGTTTTGAATTCAAATAAATTTGTAAATAGATCTAAAACATGTTTTCACTTCATTTATGTTATTACATTTAGATTGATGGACGAGTCAAGTCAAGCCAGTGGAAGAGGTCTGAATACTTTGTGAAGTAACTGTATTTGTTTTTCTGCCTCTGGAGCTGCACAGGTTGGATCTGAAACTCCTGTCCAGTGTTTAAGTTCTCCTGTTTGTTGTTTGTTGGATTGTCTCTGCTTTCATCTTCTGTCTACCTTTTACCCTCATCCCGACCAGTTGAGGCAGATAACCATCCTCCATATGCCTGGTTCTGCTGAAGGTTTCTTTAGGATACAAGGCAGTTGTTCCTCTCAACTGTCATCAACATGTGGCTCAGAGGGAATCTTAGAAATCATTGGAGGTGTTTTGTAAGTGATTTTGTAGGGTCTTGACCATCATTTTTAAATGAGTCAGGTATGAAACTTGTAGGGTCCAACATTAATGTTTATTTTGGTCAGGTAAGTTTGTATTTTATACTATTATGCAGTGTTTAAATTACTCAGATAAATTTACATAATAAATAGTACTGTAGAGTCTTAACCCTAATATTTTATAAATGTGAAGCACCAATCTTACGTCTCTCGTGGAAAGCGCTTTGGCCGAGCAGTTTCTTGTTTAAAATGTTCTATAAATACAATTCAAGTCAATTCAATGTTATTTGTATAGCACAGTTTACAACATATGTCATCACACAGCGCTTCACATAGTAAGGTATAGACCTTACAAATTTGAACAGAGAACCCAACAATCCAAAGTAGCCTTTGGACTCCCTCTGAGCAAGCGGTTGGCAACGGTGGGAAGGAAGCAAAAAAAACCCCTGAGGGAGGGGGGAAAAAAACCTCCGGCAGGACCAGGCTCAGGGAAGGCAGTCATCTGCCTCGACCGGTTGGGTGAGAGTGGGGCTGGGGGAGTGGGGAAGGGGGTGGGCGTAGCAGGATAGCGGATGGAGAGCAAGCAATAGAACGGAACAATAAATATGAAACAGCAACTTGACTTGGTTACTGCCCTGTGTATATTCACTCACACCAAGAACTGATGACCTATGATCCATCATCTGGCTATCACCAGGAAAGGGGTGCCGTTGTATCAGTAATGCATTGACATTTTTAAGTCTTCGTACGTAGTGTGCAAATTATCTGTTTTTATAAGTTACTTTAGAGAAAGTTCACTATAATCAGATTGTCAGATATTTGAGGCAGTAAGATGTCTGGCACTTATAGTATGAAGTGATTCTTGTTTTCAGATGCTCACAGCAGTCTTAGGGGAGCAAAATGTCGTACTCCTGAGTGAAAGCTAATAGTGATCTTAGTCATATCTACCTGTGCAAGTTTTACCATTCAAATTCTGTGTGATCTTGTCCAAAAGGCAAAACTGACCATCAGATTCCAAGTAGTTGTCTTGGAAATCATGTGAGAATTACAGAAATAGCCATTCTTTTCTTACCTTTAAATAATCATTTACTGTCTACTTGGGTAGACAGAAAACATATTTACCTTTAATGACCTTTATGAACTTTCATTTATTTAACTACAAATGAGTCTAACTGTGTGCAATATCACTTAAAAGTCCATTATTCAAAACTGCCTTATCTGTCAATAACTGCATTACTTTTAAATTGGACAGTAGAGTACTTCCTCCTATGAACAATCTAAAACAAATACTTATGAAAGACTAAATTGAAAGTTCAGTCCTCAAAGTACAAACTAAACGCAACAACAGTGAATGCACCTGTCATCACAAGTAAGAAAATCTGTGATCACTACGGCATAACTGAGCACACATGTCATTCCCAGTTAGCCTTACTGCATGAACACAGTTACAAACAGCAGAACTTTCTCAGTTCCGAACCTATGGACTGTGTTTATGTGCATGTCTGCATCGTGTCTGCACATGCAATAACAATTACTAGCAGAGCTGAAAAATCTGATCATGAGGCATCACAAAGATGGAAAGGCTACAGGAAAATGTGGGACCAACTAAATATCAGTCAAAGCACAGCTGCAGTTGATCAGAAGTTATAGAATAAGCCATTGTACCACTACTCAGAGCTGCAGTGACCTTCCTCCTAAAATGACACCACACACACACACAGCGCAGTACTTCCACAGTCTAGATCTGAAAACTAAAAGTAATGCCTGTGATACAAATGTGAATCATTTGTCATTTGTACAGCACTTCTGTTGTAAGTACACTGAACAATACTGAAGTTAGGAGAAGGAATTTTCCAAATGTTTTTTTTTTCATCTTTAAAGCAAAACTATGAGTCTTTTGATAAAGAGTGTCCAAGGTAGCCACAAGTTAGTCACATCAGCAACATAGTGAAAGTGTTTTAACTTCAGTCCTGCGAGTGATGGTTAATTTGGGATTTAAAGTTTAAAACAACTGGCTGGGGCAAAGGCCAGGTTAGGATTGGTATCACAAGAGATGACTTGGTTGGTGTTTGGAATGAAGTTCAAGTTAAGGTAAGTGGAGACACACCCAGCTTCAGAATCCAGCCAGATTAAGTAAGGCTGCAGAACTTCTGAGCGTCCTGAAGTTTTTCATCGCTAATGAATTGTAACCCTCCGAGTGATTGTGTGGAGTTGTTAATAGTCCCCTCTGACCTCCACCTTACAAGGTCTTTGTTTGGTGCAGGGTCCAGATGATTAACACCTTCATGCACTGGAACAAACTATCTGAGAAAAGCACTTTTTCTTTCAGTCTCTGCTTGGAACTCTTGAGAAACTTAGCCAACAGACTTGCTCCAGATTTAACTTCTCGTTCATGGTTTTGCAGTTTATTTTTTCATAGTCCTATGTATATTGTGTTGATGTATAGACAATGGATGGATGGATTGTCTTAATTAAATCAATCTTTTTTGGATTAAATATATTAAAAAAAGTGCTCTGTTAATAAATTGGTGTTATGCAGTGTATTGTACCAGATTTAGAAATCCCCAAACACCTGCAACCAGTGCAGAAGATGCTTTGTGGAAAGACGCCAGAAGCGGGAGTGTGTGACGGTGTGGACCTGCGCGTCATCCTCCTTTACCTGTTTGCATTTGTCCTCCGCTCCCTTCTTGTCCCCCTCAGCCTGCTCGGCCCGGTCAATCGCGTTCTCCTTATCCAGCTTCAGCATCTGCATTTTCTTCTTGATGGCCTCCATGTTTCCTCGGGTTGTGGTGCTGTGAGCAGAGGCAGAACGGGGCTCGTTATCCGGACGGTCGGACTGTTCTGTCGGGGATGGAGGCGGACGGAAGCGCGCGTGCGGCTGGTCTGAGCGGCTGTGGGAGAGCGCGAGGATGGACTAGCAGCTGCACGAGCCCCGGACAGTTTTTTCAAAGTGGCTCCGCGCGGGTCCATGACCATATTTAGGCACCGAAAGTTCTTCTGTCGGTGGGTGACGCCTGAGAATAAATCTCGCCACGAAAGGAACATCAGCAGAGGTAACAGAAAATATCCACTTCAGCTCACATCCACTTTGTCTGTGGAGAAAAAGTTCAACCAGAGAGAGACTTGTGAAATCATTTTCAATTATATAAATTTCCTCCTGCATGCCACCCTTCCCACCATAATCCCCCTCCTGACCAATGGATGCGGTCTGTTTTCATTCCAGGTCTTTTTTTGTATGATTGTGGCCTTGCTAAGCTTTAAATAGAACTAAAACTGGTATTGTGAAATCAAAAGAAGTGATTTTGAGTTATGTTTCTGTAACATCCTAACAGTGCCTCTATTATTATAAGAATTTAAATATAAAAAGTATTGCCCCCCTCCAGATATCTTCTGCTTTTACATATTTGTCACATTTCAGTGTTTCAGATCATTAAACTAATTTGAATGTAGGACAAAGATAATCCAAGAAAACCCAAAAAGCAGTTTATAAATGATGATTTCATTCAATGAGAGAAAACTATTGTCCAGACCCATCATGCTCGATGTGAAAAAGTGATTTCCCCCTTAGCTACCAGTCTCCCAAATGATCAGATTCATTCAGCAGTTGGGTTCAGTTTCACCAGCCACACCCACATATGATTACCACCAGGCTTGTTGAATCTAAACATCACTTAAATAGAACCTGTGTGGCATTGTGAAGTAGCTAAATGGTCTCAAAGAGCAGCACATGACACCACGTTCTACAGAACAGATGCTAAAGAAAGTCACAGACATTTATCAGTCTGGAAAGG